CACAGCCCGCGCCGGAGGGCGTAACTTCCCACAGGGCACTGTCTCCCCCTCCGCGCTGCGAAGGCACGTGCCAATCACTCCGCGTCCCTGCTGCGCGGCTCCCAGGAGAGCCGGAGCCCGCTGCATGGTTCGTCAGCAAGGTTACCATTCACAGAGGGAGTGAATCCCGGAAGGTAACTGTCACGGATCCAAAAGGTTTCCATTTTTAGCCCGTGTGTTTCTGGAACTTCACACCCACTTTTTACACCATTGAAATAAACCGAAGGGCCTGCTACCGGGAACATTCTAGAAAAGCGGGCACCAGGGCAAACGGCCAAGGGTGCGGATGCGACACGCAGAGGAAGGGTCCTTGGTTCGTTCGCGTGTCCCCAGGGCACCCGCCTGGCCGACAAAACACCCTGGCAGAGCAGAACCGCGGGCCCGACGCAGTCACAGGAAGCCGGCTGGCACCCCCGACGCCTCCGCTCTGGCCGGAACGGTGAACTGTGACCGGGGGTGTCCGAACACTCGTGCCGCAAGCCAACGCCCCAGGAATTCAGCAGACCCAGCGGCTCGGAGGCCTAGAGGGAGCTGGGGTGCAGCCACCCCGCCACCTCCCGGGAGGGTTCCCTGCACACGGCGACATCCCACAGCAGCGGAGCGCCCCCAGGAGAAGGGGCCCCGCACTGCAGGAGACAGGACACAGCCGGTCAGGGGGCCGACACAGACGTGTGGGAAGGCACAGTCACACCCAGAGCTGGCCACCGAGCGCAGCCTCGGGGGTCGAGGAGGCAAGACACCTGCTCCCTAAGGCGGAGGCGGACGACTGCCCGCGACCACCGTGGATACAGGAGGGACAGGACGGGGACGGGTCCCTACGGACCCTGTGCGCCTCAGCCAAGGGGGCTGGGCCGGGGGCCGGGGAGGCCCGACATGCTCATCTCTGCGGGGCGTTTTCACACGGTGATGCTGCACGCCGTGTTCAGCAAATATGAAAAGTACTCAAAAAAATGCTACAGTTGCTAAAAACGAGGGAAGTAAAATCAAAATGCGTGGATGTTAACGTGAACAAAAAGCAGTCTTTCCGGGTATAGAAATAGTAAGTTTTCAAAACGGTTTTGAATTAAAAAATAAAAGGAAAGGGCAGCTGGGGTCTGGAGCCCGGGGGGCACGGAATCACCACCGACGTCCTCTCCAGCCACACGGACAGAGGGGTCCCTGCTCAGGTGTCCCTGTGGGGTTCAAACACTCAGAAGCAGGGCCAACATGCCTGTCTCGCCTCGAACGTCCAGAGGCCAGCCAAAGAGGCCAAGACCGGAGGCGACGGCCGCTCAGGGTCTGCGGCCTGGGGAGCCCCCTTCGCCCTTCTCAGCCCCGTCCCCCAAGTCTCTGGGTGAGCCGAGGTGGCCTTTCGCAGGACAGTGCAGGAACTCAGTGAAGGTAACAGAGAAAGAAGCGGGACCGGGCTCTCAGGTGGCCTGGTTGGGCCCGTGGTTCCCAAGGTGGCACCCGGAAGGCTGGCGTCACCGGGAGGTGCATCCGTGCTGATCCTAAATGCCAGGCACACAGCGCCAGGAGTTTCTTGGCCAGTGCCGGGCCGGGCGGGGAAAGGCTGCCTCTGTGCTTTCTGCCCCGAGAAGTGACACCGTGTGGGCGTCCCCAAAGCTCCACCAGACACAGCCGGCTGCTTACACCACCCTGCCCGCACCCGTCCCACGGTTCCCCCTCCAGCAGGGACAGGCACCCCCCCCCCCAGTTTCCGGGAGGAAGCCACACCCAGGACACAGAGCTGAGCCCCTTGGAAGGCATCCACTGCCGCTGCAGGGAAGGCCCCCCTGGGTGTAGAGGCCGCCAGGCTCTCAGCCATCAGAGGCACCGGAAGCAGCAGGTGGCAAAGTTCCACCATGATTGTGGTTCCGTACATGGCAACACCGGGGCCCAGGGCGCGGGGTCGCATCCTCCCTGGGAAGCACCGCGGACTCACCCAGCAGGTGGCCCGGAGGAGACACGGGCACACCTGTTTCCTCCCCGCACAGGTGAGGCTGGGGAAGGCGGGCGCCCCCACGGCGAGTCACCTCCACGTGTGGGAATCCGGCATCCTTTGGTCCTGGGAGCCCCCACTCAGTCCTCCACACCAGGCTGAACCCCCGGTCTCCAACCATCAGGGTCAGCAGACAACACCCAGAGGGACCAGGCCGTTCAAAGGACATTTCCACTTAAAAAGCAGACAGCCATTCATGTTTGCCAAAGACACAGCGTCATCGCTGTGTTTACCTTCCATCTGACAGAGCGTCCTGTTCCGGAGCCGCGGCACCGTGCCACCCACACAGAGCCCTGGGCTCAGGGCTTTGCCCGCGCCTTTATCACTAAGAGAAACAGGCAAGTGGCATCTTTACGTCACGGCCGGGGAACTCGGGCTCAGGAACTGAATCCCGGAAGGTAACTGTCACGGATCCGAAAGGTGCTCTTACGGAGGCGTGCACGGTTCGTTCATCTTCAGGACGGCGTGCACGTGACCAGTGCGGGGAGGCCCGGGGTCCCTGCGAGCCCCGTGAGGGGGAGCTGTAGCTAACCAGACGGACGGGACCCTCGAGGGACCAGGAGGCTCCCCAGAGAGGGCATAGCAGGAAGAGCCCCAGGGGAGGCCGAGGGCTTACCTGTTCCAGGTGGGCTCGCGCACAGTGGGGACTCACCACCTGGAGGGAGAAGAAACACGGTCAGCAGGTGCGTCCTCTCTCTCCAGGGAAAACGAGGCGTCACGGCCAGGTGAGGCTCCCACGCCTGCATCCACCCCGACCACAGGCACGGCCCCAGAGCCCCAGCATCGCAGGACACAAAGACCCGACTTAGCGAGTGCAAGCTTTGGCTCACTTCTTTTGTAAAGTCAGATGCCTTTCCGAGACTGCATTAAACCAGGGCGCCTGCCCCCAAGAGAAGTGCCCACGGCTCGTAAACACAGACCCTCATCTCTAATGGGGAGACCCGGGGGACTCCCAGCTGGTGCCAGCCCTCCTCACTCGGCAGCATGGGGAGCGGGGCCAGGAGAGTGAGGCAGGGCTCCGCCTGGGGGTCTTCCAGCCGCCCCCCTCCCCCCCACAAACACACCCAGGGCTCCCATTCTCCACGAAACGACCGCCTTTCCCAGAACGATTTCCACAAGCGGAACTGAAAACAGAGTCGAACGGGAGGCAAGCTCAGCACGGACACTTCACGCTAGGCTGGAGCTCTGAGCGTGAGCCAGAGGGAGGGGGTCCCTTTGGCGCCACCACCACCGGCCCCTGCAGACGTGAGTGCACGAAGGAAGACACGCAGGCCAGCATGATGAGGCCACCGCTGCAGTCAGGTCATGAGAGACACAGCTGCCGGCACCCGGGACGACAGACCCAACGGAGATAAAGACCCCGGAGCAGCTGGGACCCCTGCTCCGCCCCCTCCTGGCCACGGGGCCTCGGGCTCTGATCACCCTGGGCCTCGGCTTCCTGGTCCGAGAGCCGCAGGGAGCGGGAGCCTGTGGTCTCAGAACAGGGCAGCCTCCCTGAGCAGGTGGGGCGATCAGCAGGGGAGGGGACCAGCTCGTGCGGCTCCGGAAGGCTCAGATCCCGGCACTGCAAGCCGGACCAGCTCCCGGGAGCTGCCTCCTGGCTCTGCTCCCCCCAGGACTCCCTGCATCCCCATCCTCAGAGGCTTTTCTAAAAGTGTGCACGGCAGGAGAAACCGCAGGGATCTGACGAACTGTCCTTGTGGGCTGGAGTGTGCGGCCGGTGACCTTGGCTCCAGCCACGGCAACTATTTATAGCTCCTATACCAAGGAACTTCTTTCACCAAGTTCCTCAAGGAACGTGACACACAGTCATTCATTTGTCTGGGGCGTGTCATTACTCCCCCAGGACTCTGACTCACGCTTTCGCCTGGGGCAGGGCCCTCTCCCTGGGACCCCATCCCCTCCCCTACACCCAGCAGCCCCTCTACGCACACTCCACAGCCCCTCCCACTGCCCAGAGTGGCTGACCCAGCAGTTGGCTTTGCTCGACACTGAGAATTCCCGGGAAGCAGGAACAATCTGGAAAAGCAGGGTGTTACAGGACGGTGCTGGCAGTCAGACCAGGAGCCCCATGGTTACTGGAGCAGGATGACTAATTCCATCCTTTGTCCAGTTTTCATTTGGTACAGGCTTGTGTCCTGGTGCCTCACTAAACACTTGACACAGGTGAGGAACGTGCAAGGAATCAGAGCTCCCATCTTTGAAAAAATCACTATCTGAATTCCATGCACTGGAATATTATTCAGCAATAAAAAAGGAATGTGCTATCAGGCCGTGAAAAGACCTGGACGATCCTCAACTACTGATTCACTAAATGGAAAAAGCCAACCTGAAAAGGCAAGGTACTGAATGAGTCCAACTTTGTGGCGTCTGGGAGAGGCACAACCGTGCAGATGGTAAAGGAGATCAGAGGTTGCCAGGGACCTGCCCCGAGGCCGCAGAGGTGCAGGCCCGGCCTGGGGAGTCCTCCAGAACACGAGGCAGGGCTCTGTGCTCTGGGCACCCCCGGGCCCCCCGCTTCCTGGCCAGCACAGCGGGTCTGGGCTGTGGTCACGTCACTGAGAGCTGTGCCAGCTGCACCAACCTTGTCAATTTTGCGGAGTGCCTCCTCCTGTCAGGCACACGTTACTACACAAACGGACAAGCCCTCGGGGAGCGGGCAGTCCTCCCACACGCCGTATGGACTGTCCCCTCCGTCAGTCCGCGAGCTGGGCGTGGGGCGGGGTGAGCGGGGTCCCCAGCTCAGAGGAGCAAAACTCCCCGGGGTTCCTGCCAGAAAGGGGCCAGAGGACCGACTCCGACCCTCCTGCCTGTTTTTCACACGCACTGCTGTGCAAGGCAGACAGCAAACGTCTGAGGAAAGGCCTCGGGGCAGAATGCCTGCAGATGAACTTGCACAGGACATACCGACTCGGAGACAAGGGCGTCTGGGGGGAAGCCACCGGCCGGGAAGAGAAAACTAACGTTTGCATCAGCACTGCAGACACCTGGCTGAGTAAAGGCCACCGACCACTGGACACACAGACACGCATTCCTTCCACACGGCACAAAGAACCCCAGGATGGGAACTACCTGCACGTGATGTGCCCTCCCTTCCAGTAAGGAAGAGGGGGCGGCTGACCACAGCCTGGCAGCACCTGGAGCTGCACCACCGTGCTTGCCACTAGGGGTGTGAGCAGAGTGCAGTCGGCGCCCTGGCTGCACCTCCTGGAGCCTCGGGCGGCCCCCCGCCCCCAGCTCTGCATCCTGACCACAGAGACAGAAGCACCGGGCTCCCGGGACCCAGGGCTGGAGCCACACAGCTGCAGGCTCCCCACCTGCCCCGCTGACCCCCAGGCCCTGCCTGCCTCCCAGTCGGGAGCAGGGCGCTCTCAGGATGGACGCCCAGGGTAACCGTGCGGGTGGCCGTCCGTGGTTCGGGTCGGGTCAGGAGCGGCGGCGCGAGCTTACGGCTTTCCCTCCCGGTCCCCGGTGCGCCCTGTGACCACATGCCTCGCAGTGCCGTCTGGGCTCCTGCTGTTTTCATGGGACAGACAAACACGGGGGCGCTAGGGAGCTTCCAGGCGGCCTGGGCACCCTCCGCGTGAAAGAGTCTCTTCAGCCTCTGCAGGGCCGCCCCCACTCATTGATGGGGCCGAAAACCAAGGGGGCAGCCAGCACGCATTCGGGACTGGGGTGGGTGGGGGTCGCAACGCGGCTCTGTTCCTCGATCCCACCCTGTGTGTGCGGCCCACACACCCGAGCGCCAGACCAGTGTGCTCGGGGGCACCAGGCACCCCCTCGGGGTCTGGGCAGGCGCCTCCCCTGAGCAGCCCCTTCCCTGCCCAAGTGGCGGGACAAGGACAACTTCCTCCAGCAGCCGCACGGCCCAGGATGCGCGGAAAGCGACGAGCTGATGCGGCTGCGCAGAAGGGACTCAGATGCGGATGCGCAGAAGGGACTCAGATGCGAAGATGCGCGGACGGAGAGGCACCTGCGAGGATGCGCGGAGGAAGACGAGCGGACGGGGAGGCACACGAGCGGACGGGGAGGCACCTGCAGGGATGCGCGAAGGGAGACGCGCGAAAGGAGACGCACGGAAGATGCGCAGACGGAGATGCAGGGATTGAGATGCACAGAAAGGGATGTACCTGCAGGAATGCGCAGACCAGGCTGCGTGAAAGGAGATACGCAGACGGGGATGCAGGGATTGAGATGCACATGCAGCGAGCGATGCACGGAGAGGGATGAACCTGCACGAATGCGCGGAAGGAGATGCGTGGAGAGAGATGAGCGGCAGGGATGCCCTGCTGGATGTGCGGAGGGAGATGCGCGGAAGGAGACGGGCAGACAGGGTTGCAGGGATTGAGATGCACCTGCACGAACGCTCGCACCGGGATGTGCAGTTCGGTATGTGTGGACGGGGATGCCCTCGGCCCAGTCCCAACAGGCCCAGGCACACCTGCAGGCCCTTCTGGCCGCCGCACAAGCCGGGAAGCTGATGAGCGTCCAGTCGGTGCCACGTTGGTTGGTCTGACAGGGAGGAGGCGCGGCGCTGGGTCCGAACTCCACATTCCTCCCCTGACAGGAACGGAAGCCTCCGTAAGGGTGTCAGGGAGGCGACGATGAGGGATGGGGCAGGAGGCAGAGCCAGCGCCCACTAGTGACTAAGGAAGCCGCAGCGGGGGCCCCAGAGGCCTGCACTTTATGGCCCCGTCACAGGTCCATGTGGGGCGAGTCGCCGTTACCAAGGACGACCACAAACAAACAGGGCTGCGCCCAGCCGCACCCGCCTGCAGGGCGCCTGCTGCCTGCCCGTATCAGCAGCCTGCCCCAAAGCCGCCGGGTGGGCCTGTGGGCAGGACAGAGGGGGCCCTGCAGGCGGGAGCGACCGTGCCCCGGGGAATGGGAGTGAGAGTGTGCCTCTGTGTGACTGTGCGTGTTACTCTGAGCGCACACCCCACAGAGGCGCAGCCTGCACCTGGCTTCCGCGGGAGCCGCGGTGCTGTGGATACCCCAGGGCCAATGCGGGGCTCCTTCTCCAGGAGTGGGGCCGTCTCTGACAGCCCCCCGGGGCGCCTCCGGTCACCCCACCAGGAGAGACAAGACACGGGGCCGGGAGGGGACGCAAAGACCCCCACCCAGGGCAGAGGCGCACACCCTTCCCCGGGAGCCCGCCCACTTCCAGGGTGAAGAAGCAGGGTCCGAGCAGGCGGGGTCCACAGCGGCGCAGAAGGGCTTCCGGGCGCCGGGCATGCTCCATCTCTCCACCTGGGATCTGATCACACCGGTGCATCCAGCATCAGGACACACTGGGCTGGACACTTAGGACATGGGACTTTTCTGAATGTGGGCTTCGACTTTAAATGTAGTTGATTTTCACATATATGCTTAGTTTCCAGTGCCACAGAGTCGGCTGGATAGAACAGAAAAGGCTGAGGACCTTAAATTCCAGAGCGCCCCTGCCCCGATTGACTCGGGGAGCCCTTGCTCTGTGAACTCAGTCTTCCTCGGCTGTGAAATGCGGATCCCACCTCCTGGGGGATGCGGGGCCGTGAACCACGAGATACAGGGGCGGCTTTGATAAAGCGGGTGGGGGGCACCCAGGTCCCTACAAGGGGGGGACAGTGAAGGAAGACCATCCCGTTGCGCTGGGGGACACTCCCTGCAGAGCAC